GGACTTCAAGGCATGGCAGAGGGGCATCACAAAGGAAAAACGGTTCATGGAGAGCAGAAGACAGCAAAAGCAAGGGACAAGCGACAAGAGACAAGACCACAACTCTTTCTGTGGGTTGCACTCATACTGTAATCCTAGCATCTCACTGTGAGTCAATCTCAACATCATGCCCTTGATCCTAGCAGCACAAACCCTAGATCCAACCACTTCCAAAAAGCTCCTCCTACGACCACATGAGGCTTTGGGGGAACATCTAGATACAGGCGGTAACACTGGAGATAGGCAGATCCACAGAGAAGAGAGTACATTAGGAGCTATCAGGGTTAAGGAAGGGAAATGGGGAATTCCACTGTTTAATGGGTGTAACATTTGTTTGGGATGATGAAAAAGTTTGGAGATGGATATTAACCATGGTTGTATATCATTGTGAATGCATTCAATGGCACTGAATCAAACACTTAGGAACGGTTAAATGGTTAATTTAGGGTTATGTGCATTTTGGCACACTAATGAAAAAGAAGAGGCTAGCAGAGATAGGACAGAAGAGAACACACCCCCTGAGGCTTTTCTAGTGTGCTGGTGTCATACACTTAGCTCTGGTTTTGGCTGAGAGTAAAGCTGTCCTGTCCAGTCCTGTGGTACGGGGGCTTGGGCATGAGTGTGGGGACTCCTCATAGGGCTGAGCAAGTTTAGGAATCTGGGAATTTAATGTAACCAAAACTGAGACCTTAGGTCTTACCTGGGGACCCAGGGCAGGATTGGCACCTGGTTGGGGCCCAGGTCCTGCTACTTGCAGAATACTGATGGGGCTGGTGCTGGTGCTGGGCAGGTGTCTGGGTTTTGCTTGCTCTGCAGAGAGCAGTGTATGGAGGCCATAGAGCAAGATTTCACCTTCTCCTGAGGATGGGCCCAGGGCAAGCAGCATGGCTGCTTGGAGACTTGGTTTCTTCTTCTGTGAGATGGTAGCAGCGGTGCTGACTGCAGGATGGAGGGTCTCAGAGAGATCGGGCACAGGACAGGGTCACCCCAGCGCCTGGTAATAGTAGGTGCTTAGCAAATGGCAGGGAGTTTTACTGCAAGTGGCCACAGGCATCTCCCTTCCCTGGCTTTGCATGACTCTCATTCTTTCACTAGAATTCAGTGTGCATCTACTGCATGCGGGCTCTGACCTGCGGGTAGTGTAACGAGCAATACCTGCTTCCTCCTCTCCTCTCCTGGTACTCGGTTTGCAGAGGAGGAGACAGACTATAGGAAGGAAGCACATGTCTAGCATTACAGATTGTGATTAGGTTGATGAAGGAAGAGATAAGGCTGCAGGGGAGAGAAGTGTGTGTGTGTGTGTGTGTGTGTGTGTGTGTGTGTGTGTGTGTATGTAATTTAAGGAGCCAGTGAGGTCTTTCTAGGGTAGTGGCATTTAAGTCAAAGCCAGAAGGATGGAAGGACACAGTCATGCAGACTGCTGGAGTGAAAGCCCTCCAGGAAGATGGTAAAGGACATGCAAAGGCCCTGAGGAGAACTGAGCTAGTTGTTCAAAGGACTGAGAGAAGCCCATCTGCTGTGTGTGGCTTTGGGTCCTGGACAGTGGGGACAGAACAGGGGCCAGGCCACATGAAGAGCTTTCTGTCTGTAATGGCTGTCATCTAGTGCTTTTAGACTCACTTGCCTGTCACTGTCCCTGTGTCCAGGGACCTCTGGAGCTGAGAGAGCACTAGTGAGTGGGTGCCAAGGAGGGTCCAGTGTGTGCCACCATCCAAGCCTGTGGACACCCTCACCTCCCAGCTGGCCCCCTGCCTTTCACCTCAGGGGCTCCAAGGCCACACTGCTCCACTGCAGTGCTGGGCAAATCATTAAGCATTCTGTGCCTCAGTTTCTCTATCTTTGAGATGGGGATGATAGCATCAAATGAGTAGGAGCAAATGGCTTGGTACTAAGAAAGCAGCTGAGTGGTGGTGGCTGTGAGACCCATGCTGGGTACAGACACACTCGCACTGCCAAGCAGTCTCTGACTGCCGGTGGCATCTCTGCTGCTGTGAGTGTTTGGAGGTCAGCCTGGCATGGAGGGCACAGCGAGTCTCTGGAACCAGGCTGCTGGGCTTGCATTCTACTGCATTGGCCAACTCCCTAACCTCTCTGCGCCTCAGTCTCTTCACCTGCAAAATGGGGTGGGGGGTGGTGTAATAATGATCATGTTCAGGGTTGTTGTAGGAATTGAGTTAGTTACAGAAAGCAGTAAGAACAGTGCCGCTGGGGAGCAAGTGCCGTGAGTGATTGCTGCTGCTGTCACTTCTGTCACTGAAGGTGCAAGGATGATACATAAGGCTGTCAGTACCTGACGTCTAGAGGGCCGTTTGAGGTGTGCCAGGGGAAGGCCTGGCCGAGCCCTGGGATCCAATGCCACTGGTTCCCGAGGTGGACAGATGGCAGGGCTGGTACTGACGGCCCCTGCAGACACCCCCAGGGGCTGCCTCTCTGCGAAGCGAGGCTTCCCAGCTTGGGTCCCCAAGAGTCAGTGGGGTAGCCACTGCTGGTGCCAGGCGTGTGGGCCCATTGGGCACAGGCCACAGAGTGGCAGGGGCCCTGGCGCTCCCTGGCGTGTCCCAGGCTTCTGAGAGGGTGGCCAGGGGCCAGTGTGCTGGAGGGAAGGAGAGAGCCTTTTAAGGAAACATTTCTCTGCTTTAGAAAAAGAGAGAGAGTGAGAGGAGAAATGCTGAAACACACACCCGAGTCTGCGGGCCAGCAGCCGGCCAGGCCGGCCTGGAATGCACAGCTGTGGGCGGAGGGCGGGAGGGCTCTGGGGCAGCAGGCCCTCCTTGGGGTGTGACTGCTCCCTCTCATCCAGGTCCTTGGGCAGGACACCTGGGCCACCTTCTCCTTGCTGCTTCAGGGAGGGCTGGGAGACACCATAATTGTCACACGGAATGCCATCCTTCCTGCCCCTCCTCGGAATATATCCGTGCCCCCTACATCCCTTGACTGTGATGGAGACTGGAACCCCCTCTGCAGCCTGGGGTCTGGGGCCTGTGGCAGCGTCCCTCCTCTGTCACAGTCTCTACGCAGGGTCCTGGCAGCCCCAGCACCACCCTGAAGCCTGGAGCACGGTGAGGGTGCTGTCCTCCCCACACCCTTGGGGCCCTGGTCCGAGACTGGAAACCTCACAGCCCCACAGTGGGGCTTAGGGCTGTGTCTGGCAAGGACAGCAGTGCCCCTGGCTTGAGACCCTGTTTGATGGGCAGGGCAGGCAGAGAGTCCTGTAGGCCACAGGCAGCTTCGGGGACTTTCCTTACCCTCTCTGTCTCTTGCGCACACACGCCTCCCCCGGGCCCGTCCCCCCAGATGCTGCTTCTCCACAGTCACTTCTAATCCCCTGCTTGTGTGTGTTGGGAGTCCTGGACTTCTGGGAGCAAGCTCCCCATGTGTCTCCTCATTCTTCTGCAAGTGGGGCCGTGAGCGATAAGGTTCCCTTCATGTTGCACCTTGGGAATCATCCCACCTGGGTTCAAATCCCAGCCACTTATCAGCTGTGTGACTTTGGGCAAGTTGCTTTGCCTCTCTGTGCCCAACACATCTCCACTGGGGATAAAGCAGTAGTATCTACCTTATTGGATTGCTGAAAGGGTTCAGTGAGTTAACATGGAGAAGGCATCGATGATAATGCCTGCTGTGTGGTGCAGACCCAGTGAGAGTTATTGAGAAAAATTCAGCATTAAAATTCACTTTGGAGCTGGGTGTGGTGGTGCATGTCTGTAATTCCATCACTCCCAGAGACTGAGACAGGAGGATGGCAAACTGAAGCCCAACCTGGGTAATTTGCCGGGGAGCCAGCTCCTGTAATGTGATTGGCTCGAGAACCCAGGGACGCTAACTCCTGGCCACTTCCATCCTCGGAGCTTGGGGCACACTGTCACAGGGGTGTCCTCACCTGGGCTGGAGTGTCAAGCCTGGGGGTCCCCTTGGGCTGATGGGACCACAGCACGGGCTCAGCTCGGGCGGCCCTGGGGAGCACAGCACCGTGGGCTGTGGGCCCTCACCTTGGCCCTCCCTGGGGCAGCGGGCACGGAGGGGTTGCTCTCTGTCTGAGGAGGCAGTGACCCCTCTTAGGCCACCCACAACTTGTGCCCAGACGCCCTAATGCCTGGGGGAGCCTCCCGCTCTCTGTCCCTTCTGCAGGCCCCTTGCCTGGTGTTCAGGTCAGGAATTGGAGCCAAGGTTGCACACTGAGCTCCAAGAAAAACGAGTCCCAGCTAGCAAAAAGGAGCACATGGATCTCTGATAAATGCCCCTGCTAATTGTCAGGGTGACGTTTGGCTGCCTGGCCTGGGGCAGCGGTGGGGAGGGGGGGTGTTATCTTAGGGAATGGAGTGGAGCAGCCAGGAGGCCTCCTCCCGCCTCCCTTGCCTCTCTCCCTGGCCTTCCTCCCTGGCTGGAGGCCAAGTTGCCAAGTTCTTCTCTGGATCGGAGAGGAAGATGAGGAAGAGGATGCTCTCCCATAGTGGGTGCTGTTGCCGCTCAAAGCTTTCCACGTTTTGTCCCCTGGCCAGTAGGAGCCTTCACCCTGGCATAGGGGAGACTGCAGAGGGTGACTTTACCTTTCCTAGAGGCTTTAATCACAGGTAGCAAACATTTTAAATTCTTCTTACCATATGTCGAACATCCAGAAAACAGTGCAAAGAAAAAGAAATCCTTATTCTTACTACTGTAACCCACTGTTACTAAAATGCTGGTGTATTGAACTTGAGCCTCAGTGTCTGGGACTTTTTGCAGAATTTTAATTTACATTTCATGCTTACTGTCTGTATTCCCTCCCTCTGCCCAGGCATTGCTGCCTAAGCATTACTCCGAATTGCTGGTAGCTTTTGAAGGCCCTCAGCTGGGATGCTGCTGCCTGTGTCTCCAGGGAAGGGGCCTCTTGCCTGGAGGTGGTGGCAGTGGGGATGGTCCCAGGAGGCCACATCTAAACTCACAAGAGATACTAACCTGGCCTTTCTCTGCTGCTTCCACAGGTGGCTGCCCCCTGCGTTCCTCCACCCAGCCATGAATTGGTGGTGAGTGACAGCCTGTTCCTTCTCCTGCCAGCCCATCCTGTGGCTCCACAGCTGCAGCTGACTTTGGACCCAAGTGTGTTGGGCAGTTAGGTGGGGTGGAGGAGGGTCAGCATCCCTGGGCTGAAGCTGGATGGGGAGGAAGTGAGTCATGAGGTCCCCAGCAGTGAGATGCAGGGCTGCTCTTTCCAACCTTGAGACTTCAAGTACTTGGAAAAACCCATAAAAGGGAATCTTGTGTGTCTCCAGGCCTGGCCAGGTGCCTGTGGTCCCAGGGCTTACAGGACTAGGGGTGCTGTGGCATCTCCTTCCACCTGCCTGGTCCTAGGTTGAGCACCCTTTGCCTGGAGGCAGGGGGATGGACTGCATGACCCCCAGAGTCCGTCCACCTGGCCAGTTTATCACATAGAGGTGGCCTCTGTTTTGTCCCTAAGCTCCTGGGGTTGAACCCCCCACCCCCCATTAGGCTTCCAGAGCAGCCTGAACTGGTGGGACCCCAGGAAGTGTGGGCTGTGGTGAGCACCCTGCTCCAGACTGATCCCAGCTGGGCTGGCGGGGAATATTGACAGCCCTTGCTCCCTGCCCTCCTGCTCCCCTTCACCCTTCACCCTTCACTTGAGGCAGGCCGGCCTCTGGGGGCTGCAGGGGAAGGGGTCTGCAGTGTGCAGCATGTGTGTGTGGAGGTCTGCTGTGGAGAGACATCATGTAGGCACAGTCTCATGGACCGGGGCAGGGTACCTGTCTGGTGCCAGTGTTGGTGGAATCTCGGGGTGAGGCAGAGTGTCCTGGGGAAGATACGGGTATCAGCCACACCCACATGGTTACTTGCTCCATCCATGCACCAGGCACACTGTCAGGCCCCTGCTCCCGTTTCCACTCAGTGTGGGATGATGGGGTGGTCACTCTTTCTTTCTGGACCTTGGTTGCCCTTTCTGTATAAGAGAAGATTGGATTCGATCTCAGTGCAAAGACGTGCTCTGCCTTCTCTCCGTTCAGGGCGGTGGCAGAATGAAATCAAGGTCACAGCTGTTCTTGGGCCCTCAGACCACTGGGAACCTGGGCAGTGTCACTATTCTCCACACCGGGCCAGGTGTTTACCTTCTCTGCGGGGGCCTCTCCTCCCTGGCTCTCAAGGGTCAGACCCTGTGGGTATCAGCTGCCCAGTCGTGTGCTCCAGATGTACAGTGTCAGTCTCACGGAGCCCGGTCCTGGGTCATCTGACAACAGTGGGGGTTGGAGCCAGGCGCCATAGGGGATGGGGCCAGAACAGCCTGGCTTGGAACTGCCAGAGAAGTGTCCCTGGGATCCCAGGGGGACACTGGGGAGCTGTGGAGGGTGGGGATGGAATGGAGAGGGGTGAGCGGGTTCCCCGTATTCTGGCTGAACTATCGCCTTGTGGCTGAGAACAGAATGTCTTTGGCCAGGTGGGGAAGCTGAGGGTCCAGGATTTAGGGACCCTGGGAAGAGAGCAGCTGTCTTTCCACGGGGCATCTTGTGAACTTTGTTTACAGGAGGCACTGTCAGGGGTCAGGGGTTGGAACAAAAGGGAATAGCTTGGTATTTCAGCTGGAGGACTGTAGATAGGTTCTAGAAAGGACTCCAGGGATCTGTGTGTCTCCGTGATGTGCCCCCACCTGCAGAAGGGGCTCAAACCTTCCAGGAGGTTGGACCAGCCCCCTGGTGGCCAAGTGGCGTGGCGGAGACAGCTGGATTGTCCTTCCAGGGTTCCCCTGCCTGAGTCAGACCCCACCTCCCAGCAGAGTTAAGAGCCTGGGTTTTCTGCTCCCTCCCTCTGGGTCTCTGTTCCCCCACTCCCTAAGTTCAGGTGTATGACCTCCAATACTTCCTTAGCCTCTCTGACCCTCAGCCTCCTTTCTCAGCATGGTAGCTATGTCGTGATAGTACCCACCTTGTAAGGTGTCAGAAGAAACGATCGACTTGATCCACCTAATCTAAATTCAGAAGCCTCTGATGACTGCCCATCTCACTTGGAGCCAAAGCCTGGGGTCTTCCCCTGGCCTCCACAGCTTACACAATAGCTTTCCTCTCACCTCACCTCTTGCCTCACCTTGCCCTGTCCTTCCCTCCCTTCCTCCCTCGGTTGCAGCTAGCCACCTTGCAGACTCTTGGACATACCCAGCACGATGCTGCCTCAGGACCTTTGTACTTGCTGTTTTCCTTTGCCTGGAATGTTCTTCCTGCACATGCCTGCAAGTCTCTTTCTGTCCCCCAGGTCTTTGCTCAAGTATCAGCATTTTCCTTCCGTGGTGATACTATCTCCCTTCCCTGCTTCCTCATTCTCAGATATGCTGTGCATTTTACTTATCTTTATTTTGTTTAAGGGGGCTTCACCCACACCAGCAGGGCACTTCTGTTTTGTTTTTTGCTGGGTTCTCACTCACTGTCTTGAACACAGTAGGTGCTTTGTATTTGTGCTGAGTGGCTGGAAGGAAGGCAGCCAGCCAGGGGCCTGGCACAGGTTAGGTATGCAATAAACAGGACCCTGTGGCTGGGTTCCTTGCTGGCCCATGGGATGACTTGGAGAACTATGGGTGGGGGTCTCAGGCAGGGCAGCTGCCTTTAGCTGGAAGCCCAGTTACTGTCCCTAGGGAGTGGGAAAGTGGGAAACCAGGAGAAAGTTTGGCTTCCCCTGAGAGCACTCAGCACCTGTTTCCTCATGGCCAAGTGCTTTGAAAAAGTTCACAAGAGGGAGGAACGGGTGGGTTTTTATTTTTCCTTCCTTTTCCATTCCCAGCCTGCCCTTCAGCCTCTGTAGGGCTGGTCTTCAGCCTCCCTGACCCTCCTGTTCCCTTGCACGATGTGTCTGTCCGTGTGTTTGTCTGTCCAGTTTTCTCCCTGACTCAGTGGGGCTCCAGCTCTTCCTTTGCCCTTCTCACTGACCTTGCTTAAATCTTTCCCCCTGGGATTAGGATCCCTCACCTCTGCACCCAGGATTTCTGTCCAGCTTCTGGCCCTGCTGGCCAAACACGTTTTCCAGTCTGTTCCCAGGCCAGCCAGGGTGAAGTGGCTTAATCTTCAACCCATGTTTTCGATTTACTCAACAGATGTTGCCCAAAGGTTTGGGTAAAAGCATCCTACGGTTGCCCCCTCCTAGGGGGTCCACGGTGGGGTAGGATGAGGGGGGGCCTTGTTTGCCATGGACTCTCCTGATTCTTGGAAAGAGCTGAAGCAGCTTTTTTCTTCTGAAAAATAAGAGTCAAAGGAATTTCCCACAGATGATAGCCAAATGGAGTGGCCACCAAGGTCATCCAGATGCCAGGCTCCTGGGCACACACAGCCTGGCACTCAGGAGACCTGGGCTGGGGTTGACTCAGTGTGCAGGCTGTTTCCCCATGTACAGCCCATGACAGGGCCTCAGGGTACCCTTGTGGAATGATTTAGAGGTTGGAGTGGGGACTCTGGAGGGGGTTGTGGCAGATGGGAGAATGGTGATTTCACCTAAACAGTAACATAGCAGCCTCTCCCTCCAACCTCCTGACCTGGAGTTTCACCTTTTTTAGTTTCGGGTATTCAAAGTCAGCCCGAATCTGAAAATATTAAAAGGAAAATCCCAGAAATAAACAGTTCGTAAGTTTTAAAGTGTATGCCATTCTGAGTTGCAAGATGAAATCTCTTGATGCCTGGCTTTGTCTTGCAAGGGGTGTGAGTCTGTTCTCTGTCCAGTGGATCCACACTGTATAAGCCACCTGCCCGTTAGTCACTTAGTAGCCACCACAGATATCAGATGGGCTGTTGTGGTATCATGTACTTGTTCAATAGCTCTTAATTTACCTAAAAATGGCTGCAAAGCACAAGAATAGTTTTGCTGACAATTTGGATATGCCAAAAGAAATCCTAAAGTGCTTCCTTTAAGTGAAAAGGTGAGAGTTCTCCATGTATATATAGGGTTCTGGACTATCTGGTTTTAGGCACCCATTGGGGGTCTTGGAACTCTCCCCATAGATGAGGGGAGCTATTATAATAGCTATAGTAAAACACTAGCCCTTTTTTTGAATTTTGTTGCACGATTTAAAAAAATAAGCACCTTTTTACTAGTACATGTTTGCAATACGTAATATTTAGATTCCTTGTGTGAAGTTGGTACATATACATAACAGATCTTCATTCCTTTTTTATCCACTCTCCCTCCCCTCCCTCTAGTGACAACAATGGAGCCATTCTATGCTCTATTCCCAATGCCTGCATGAGGAACTGAGGTCAAAAGCCACCAAGCTATTAAAAAGGAGAGTGAGCTCTGAACTCAATGGTCTGACACCAGAATCCACCCTCTTAACCACAGATATTAATGACAAACGTCACTGTCACTTGCATAGCACCTGGAGCTTTCAAAGCCTTTTCCACGGGGCCTTGGGAACCCCCAGGACAGGCCTGATCCCATGCTGGGGAGGCAGGAGGTGGTGCAGTGGGGTAAACGGGGGCTCAGAAAAACTAGGTGACTTGGGCAGTCACACGGCTGGCGGTGGCAGGGGGTGGGTCAGGATTGTACCCAGCTCTGCCTTCTCCCAGGCACCCTGGTGCTTGCTCCTGATGGAAGTGCCCTGTGTTGCCAGGTGCTAGGTTTCTCCAGCCCCTCTTTCTAAGCAGCTAATGTCTCTGATACCCAGTGGGCTTGGGCTTTGGGAGAGTATCCATCTAAGTATCCAAAGGATCCAAAGAATACCTCCTGAATGCCACTGTTCTACATTCTGGAAAGTAAACAGCCCTGCTATTTTAAAATAACGTTCCCAAGGTCCCTCTGTATTGGGTCTGGGTCAGAAGGCACCATGCAGTCTCACGGAAGAAGAGAAGGCATGATGTTAACTGGTACCAGAGTGCACAGGTGGACCATTCTGCCCAGCACTATGGCTCACTGTCTGTCAAGGACGTGGCCAAGAATTTGCTTTTGAGCCCGATGCATTTCATCCCAGGGCAGAGGGGGCTGTGAGTGGCTGTCTGTGGGAAATCCTGGAAACCTGGAGCCTGCTGAGAGACGAGCCTGCTCA